CGGCGCACACGCCCGGGCGGCCTTCCAGGGCTCCCCGGCGCCCCGCCTGGCGTGGCCGCGCCGGCCGCCGCTTTCCGGTCGCCTCACGCTCCTCCTTTGTCTCGCGCGGAGCCGGGCGGCGGGCAGTGGCGACCCGGCGGCCGCGGGCGGGCGGGCCGGCGCGGGCTGCCATCTTTGCTGCGCCCAGCCGGGAGGAGGAAGGCGCCCGGGCATGCGGAGCCGTCCCCGGAGCCGTGCGGCGGGGCAGGCGGCGGCTGGCGCTTGCTGCCGCGGTCGTGGCCGTGGGCCGGGCGGAGGGTCTGGGGGCGCGGAGCGAGGCTCGCCCGAAGGGCTCTCAGCCGGAGCGGCTGCAGTGCGGCGAACCGTCGCGCATCGGCTCTGGTGGTTCTCCCTCTTCAGAACCCAGCCGAGGATCCCCCCGTTGGTGCTGGAGGGCGGGGGGGGGGTTCCAGCAGCCCTTAGCCCGGGACATTTAAAACCAAGCCTCCATGTGTCAGAGCAGTCCACCTTCTGTGCCCCAGCTGCTAGAAGGACCGTCGCCACACTCCACTTTCGAGCTGCCCAGGGGCCTCGTGCCGCAGGCACGGCATCGGCGCTGGACTTGCAGTGGCCCCAGAAGGCAGCAGTTGTTAAATTCGGGGCCTGCGATTCTGTATATGCTGAGAAACGGGGAAGCGACCCAGCGGCTTCTGTGGAAGGTGCCCGCGGGAAAGCACGGGGCTGGATCCGGGCCTCGAGAGCTCTGCAGCGCCGCTGCCCTGGATTCACAAACGGAGCGGCAGGGGGTTGCTCTCACCCGCTAGGTTAAAAATCCCCTCCCCCCCAGTAGTAATAATTGCAAGAGAAGCCTCTGGATAGCTGCTCAGAGGCCAGCCTGACGGAGCGTCCGTGGGGCTTACTTCCGAGTAAACAGACGCGCTACACAGCACGAGGGTCTCCAGATCTTTGGGACTGCAGCACCTCTCCGCCCTCGCTGGAACCGGGAGCTGTGGGATGCAAAGCCATCCGGGTTATGGAAGTCTGGTATCTAGGCAGAGGAGAGATTATGGGATGGATTCCAGGGATGCGCCCCCGACTGGGGCGCTAGGGCAGGGAGTGGCGTGGAGGAAGAGCAGAGGCTGCTCCCGCATCGAGGCGCTGCGCTGTCGCCCCTTGGCCTGGTTCCTCCGCTCGCCGGAGTGTCGCCACACCCGCCTCTTGCACGGGGCGGCCCTGCGGCTTGGCAGGAGATGTGTCGGCGAGCAAACACGGAAGATCCTGCACCGAGGTTGAGGTCCACCGTGCAGATTATCGGCTGGCCTTGGGCGGGCGCACATGCGCAGGGGTGTGTGTGTGTGTGTGTGGGTCGGAGAGAAAGCAGCGCCGCCCTGGTTTGATCGCTGGGAGGCCGAAATCTCAGTCGGACCAGACGGCGTCACCGGACCGGATTTGAGGCCTTCGGGCCTCCCAGTTCGTTTCCACAAGAGCAGACCCACAACACAGACCGTGCTGGGCCGGGCGTCTCCGACAGGGTCTCCCCAGAACTGCTGGGGTGGCGGAGAGAGGGCCACCCCCCCGGTCCAGAGCCTCCTTCCCGTGGGGACTCTCTTCGCCCCAACCTCAGTGGGGCTTCAGCACCATCAGAATGGGGCAGGTCACCACGTCGGCTCTTTCTTGAGCTTGTCTTTCAACGCACTGCTTGGTGTCTTCCTCTTTCTATTGGGAGTTGTAATCCAACGCAACAGGAGGGGAAGGTTGTGATGTTCACTCCTGGGGTCCCAAGGAAATGGGAATATTTCCTGAGCTTGTGGTTCTTATTTTACAATTGTGACGGAAGAGGCCTGCACTCAGGTGGCCACCGCAGACCACCTGGCTCAGGTGAAGTCTGATGTCCTTTCCGCCAGATGTCCCCTGGAAGTGTGCTAGCCGACACCAAGCTGGTTAAATTTTCCAGTTGTTAGTCACCCGATATCCGGTATTCCCAGGTAGACTGCCCTTGTAAATGGAGGCTTGTCTTAGCTGCAGCAGCAGGGTGGTCCTTTCAGGGTCAGTTTAAACTGCTGGTCGCGTCCCCCCGCCCCAGCAAGCGTCCCTTCTTTTCCGGCCCGGTGCTCCCACGCCGGGCGTGCCGTCCTCAAAGAAAGGTGTGTATTGGGCAGATACCCTTGCCAGCGCACCTGGCGCTTGGGGCAGCAACTTCCTGGCCTCCACACGATCTGGCCGGGGCTGCTGGGACCTGCAGGCCAAAATACCCATCGGGACGGAGGGTCCCTTCTCCCCGCGGTCTGTCGTGGAGCGTCCCTTGTTTGGTTGAAGCTGAACCCAGGCTTTTGGTGGGTGACGCAGCATCCCTGCAGGCCCCTGGGCCTCCGGACGGCCCTCTGTGGAGACTGCACCGGCCTACCTGTCCTGGCTGTTGTAAAGTCGAAGCTTGTGGAGAAGGCGTGATGCCAAGCCTTTGCCGCACAACGAGCGAGTTGAGTCGCGTCACACCTGCGGAGGGAAGGGAAAGGCTCGGCCTTGAACCCCACTGCAGGGGCTTTTCTGCCCCCCAGGAACAGCTCGGCCCCCATCCCAGCACCCCTTGCACCCACCTCCGGCCACCCAGATACACACCGCGCCAGCTCTGGCTGCTGTCTGCAGCCCTCAATTCCCCAGCCCCTGAGCGAGACGCCTCGTTCCTCTTTAATTATCCACCTTTTCATTAAAACCATGTGAGCGAGGGGGAGGCCTCTCGTGCCATTTTTAATTAACACTCTGCGCTCTGCAAGCAAATCAGTTTTTTTGCTTGCACTTGATTCTTCTGGAAAAGGGGGTTCTCCTGGGGGGGCTGCCGCATGGTGAGGGACGCACTCTGCGCGTGCTCAGGCATCGCGACGAGACCTGTTCTCCTGCCATGGAGCCAATTCCTACATATGATATGTATCGTTACACGTATTTTTCACGTGAAAAAGCCCACGGACCATGAAAGAACGGGTGGATCTTGACCCAGGCCTGTCCGCTGCCAGCTTGGCTCTTCTGGGGAGCAGGCCGCCTAACGGGGGAGCCCCTGGAGGGCAGCTCGGCGCCACGCCAAGGACGGGACGCAGCCTCGCCCCGCGGGACCCCCCCTTGGCGACTGTCTGTCTGTCTGAGCGCTTCTCCTTGCGTTGGAACCGGGAGCAAGGCAATTACCTGCAATTAACTCGGGGGTCCCTGGGGGAGCCTGCGCCAGGTGGGTGGGGAGTCGCCGTGGCCGCTGGGGGAGAGCCATTCTCACCCCTCCTTCCCGTTGCCTCCCAGTCTCAGACGCAGCCAGCCTCCCCCTAACTGAGAGGGTGTGGACTACAGCTCCCATCATCCGCAGCAGCTGGTCTCCTGGCTTTTGCAGCATTCTAAAAGGCTGGAGGCCCTCCGTTTCTGGTAGTGGGAGCCGAAATGGACTGGCATCGGTTGGGGTTTTGGCCCCACCCCCCGGGACGCAGCCCCCGAGAGTCGTTTTGGAACGGGACGCAGCCCGCGGGCTGGAAGAGGCTCTGCACCTTCACTCCCCCCCGCGGAGGAGCCGTGCAGGCGCTCACGCCGGGCTTGTCCCCTCAGGTCGACGTGGAGCAGCTGGACCCCCGTGGCCGGACCCCCCTGCACCTGGCCACCACCCTGGGGCACATCGAGTGCGCCCGGGTGCTGCTGAGACACGGCGCAGATGTGGCCAAGGAAAACCGGAGCGGCTGGACAGGTGCGCACCCCCTGGGCGTTCGGTCGGTCAGTCGGTCGGTCGGTCGGTGCATGGGATCGAGGAGGTGGTCTCCCCTGGCCCAGCCTTCACCTGGCCAGCCGCTCTTGGAGGGCAAGGATCGGGCCCTGATCCGGCCCAGTTCCAACCAGTAAGCCGAACACACGCTCTGGAAATCGGCAGAGTTTCGGAAGAGCTCAGTTGCCAGCCTCCTGCAGCGCCAGGCCCAGGGGGTCGAATCAAGCTCCTGCCCTAAGCATCTTTCGGCCTGGAGTCTCGGCCCGATCCTGCGACCTCCAGCGGCATCCGGGGGGGGGGGCTCTGGGGGCAGGCAGCAAACATGCCCCCTAGAGAAAGCGCAGGGAAAACTTCCCAGCCCACCTGGAAGGGCCTCCCTTTCCGTGCGGTTGCAGGTTGGTTTGAGACCTCGGTGAATTCCTCCATTGATGCACCGCTGAAGGGCAATATGAATATTTGATTCATGGCTTTTATGGCTTCATTAAGTGCGTTTGGGGGTTCTTTTTATAACCACATCATTCATTGGCTTTCTTTATTTTAAACGGCTCGGGGAACGGTTTAGAAAAGTGGCACAGAGCTGGTCCCAGAATGAGCCGTCACTAAGAGCACATCCTGCTGGAAAGAGATTCTGGACTCTTAAAATGATGTGCGGTTCCCCTTCCACTGTGCTGGGCCATTTTGAATTAAGGCGGCTCGATTCAGTTGGCTTTTCGGCACAGTGACAAGCATGAAAATAATACCTGAGCCCCCAGCCACAGGCAATCTTTGAATATCTGTTTTGGAACAAGCTCCCCAGAGAGAATGACTCTTCTCTATTCCTTTCAGCGGCGGGGAAAACCCTTTTGATTCCCCCAGCATTTTAGCGGAGCAACTTTGCCGACGTGATTTTCCCGTCTTCCATTTCATTTCGTCCCGCTGCTCCTTTTGTCCAGCGCTGAACCTCGGCAGCTGCCATTAAAAGGACAATTTGTCCTTTTCAATTGTGCGCGTGCGTCTTTAACTTCTGGTTAACGTTAACTTTTGCTGGCCGCCCAGAGAGCCTCGGCTCTGGGATGGTATGAAATGGAGCGGACAGATAAATGAAGTGCAGGCAGGGGATTCTGCCTCAGCGGGTGCTGTGCCGGGTCTGCTCTTATCGCTCTTGGGTGTTGCTGGCGCTTCATGGATCCGCCTGGCAGTCGTGCCCGGCCGGCGCCTGCCCGTGCCGGCCCTTGCTGCTGCCCCAGAGGCCGCCCGCTGCCCGGCAGGCTCCGAGTTGCGCGCTTGACGTCCGCCTGCCTGCCTCCCCCCAGTGCTGCAGGAGGCGGTGAGCACCCAGGACCTGGAGCTGGTGCAGCTGGTGCTGCGGTACCGCGACTACCAGAGGGCCATCAAGCGCCTGGCGGGCATCCCCACCCTGCTGGAGAAGCTGCGCAAGGTAAGCCGCCGCGTCCGTCCTGCTCGAGGCCGTTGTGACCGCCCCGAATGGCCCCTCCTCTCTCCCCCTCTTCCTCCTCCTCCTCCTCCTCCTCCTGGGGTTTTCAAGATAGGGGCCCCTTCCGTTTAGGGCAGCATCCTTCCCGTACGGAGACAGACGCCTGTCTGGTCCCTCCTGGACCTCTTCCTCTCGCTGCCGCTGTTTCTCCAGATTGTTTCCCCCCTGGGGCAGAGACCTTTATATGCTGTGCGTTGATGGGTGGGGAACGGTGGGCCTCCGGAGCCCCGTTTGGCGCCTTCGAGCGTGCCGGGGGCTGGCTGGGAAGAGGGAGGCAGAGTCGGACTAGCCTGGCGCAGCCGGGTCTGGACGCGGGGGCCGGGGCTGCCCCAACAAGCAGCTGGATTCCTCGTGGATGAGTCCGGGCAGCCCCAAATTTTCTGAATTTCTGGTTTCCTCATTTGCTGGGGACACCTGAGGTCACCTAGCGGTTTGGGCCGGGCAGAATTGCCCTCGGTGTTCAGAAGCGCCTCCTGATCTCGTCCCGGGAAGTGCTTGACCGCTAGCCGAAATCCTTCCTTTCGTGGCCGGCTTGGGTAGTGTTCCTTTTGCCAGCCCTCTGGGCCACCAGGAGAGACCGCTTGGCCCTCGTGGTGAAGCGCTGGGAAGCGAGGAGCTTTTCCAGCATTGTAGGTTTTTAAAAACTGCATCGTTGACCCATCAGCTCCTTTCCTGTGTCCAACAAGTATTTCCGTTTTATCCTTCCTCACACCGAGCTTTCATAATCTAGCATGCATTAAGCCATTTTATTTATTTGTTAGATTTCTATCCCGCCGTTTTTCTTACAAAGAACTCAAAGCGGCTTTCCTCCTCCTCCTCCTCCTCCTCTCAGTCTTATCCCCACAACAATGACCCTGTGAGGTAGGTTGGGCTGAGAGCCTGTGGCTGGCCCAAAGTCACCCAGTCAGCTCCGGGGCTGATGGGGCCTGGAACCCGGGTTGTCCGAATCCCCGTCCTGCTCTCTTCACCACGGCTCTCCAGGTTACGTTGCCAAACGACCGAGCAAGCGATGACCCAGAGAATGGCGGGTGGCGATTCTGTTATGGCAGAAGGTGCTCCCCGAAGCCCACGAGGCTTCTGGTCTTAAGGGAGGGCAGGGAAGAAGCTGGCCGGCCTCCTGGGCCAGCGTGGATGTAGAAACACCCCTCGTTTGAGGGGACGCACCCAGAAGGCAAAGACTTTTCTGCGGGATGCGGAAGGAACGTTGGCACGACCCCGCTGCAATGAAATCCCGTTTCCACCCTAAACATTTGCAGGCCAGGAAGAATTGCTCAGGCGCTGGGAAGCCCCGCTCGCCTTCCACTCCCCGTTTCCTTTTTTAACCCCTTGTCTTCTGCTCTCTTTGCCCCAGGCTCAAGATTTCTATATTGAAATGAGATGGGAATTTACCAGTTGGGGTACGTTTGCTCAAACCCGAGGCGACCTTGGGGCCGTTTGGGGGTGGGGCTCGCCCACTGCAAGCAGGACCTCGCTCGCCCCCAGCCCCCCGTTCCCGAATCGCCTTCCCCGCCTCCCTCCCGTGCCCGTCCTCCGTGCCTCTCGGGGAGCTGCTTCCCTGCGGCGGGGGGCCGCCCCTGACGCCCCTCTCCTCTGCGCCCCCGGCAGTGCCCCTGGTCTCCAAGATCTGCCCCAGCGATACGTACCGGGTGTGGAAGTGTGGCCAGAACCTGCGGGTGGACACGACCCTGCTCGGGTTCGAGCACATGACGTGGCAGCGTGGGAACCGGAGCTTCATCTTCCGGGGACAAGGTGGGTGGCCGCAGTGTGCACAGAACCGCTCCCGGGTCCAGCCTTCGGCGTTTGTTTTTAAACGGCAGGCCGCTAGCCCTCACGGGGGCTTTTCTACCAGGCCGTGTGTGCTCCGATGCAGGACAGAAGAAAGGAAAAAGAACAGAGCTAGGGAAGGGACAACGATAAACAAACAAGTTGCCAAGGAAAAGCGAAATTAAGGCGCTGCCACCAATTGTATCAGCAGGGCTGGGCTGGGTGTGTTTTTCTCTTTTTCTGCTGTGTTTTGTCCAAGCCGATACAGTGTTGTGTTTGCAATGAACAGTTTGGTCAGCTTGTTTTGGAAACCTCGAAGAATGGTTTAGCAAAAAAAAATTGAGCAAAACTTGGAAATAAAAGGAGGAAACGTGGCGGAGCGAGTGCGGGTGTTCAAGCATAGGCTGGACGTTTATTTATGTATGTTTTTATGTATTCTTTGTGAGCCGCCCCGAGCCTTTGTTGTGATGGGGGCGGTGTAGAAATGTTTCAAATAAATAAATGAAATAAATAAATGGCATGAGCGGAGCCGGCTGGTGCCGGAGGTCAGACTAGATGGCCCGGGGTCCCTTCTGACGCGCGCCGTTTCTGTGTTTCCGTGTCTCCCCGTCCCCACCCTCGGCAGATGCCAGCGCGGTGGTGATGGAGATCGACCACGACCGCCGCGTGGTGTACTCGGAGACGCTCGCCCTCGCGGCCCACGACCGGGAGGGGATCCTGGCAGCCCTGCAGCCCACGGAGGAGCAGGTCATGGGGCGGCTGATGGCGCCCGTGGTCACCACGCAGCTGGACACGCGGAACATCGCCTTCGAGCGGTGCGTGCCGGCCGGGGCGGCCGGGACTCCTCGGGGGCCGCCGCAGCCCCACTGGAGCTCAGGGCTGCGTGGCCTACGCGGTCCTGGGGGGGCTTGGCTTCTAGGACCCCACTGGAGCTGGGGGGGTGGGCACGGGGGTGGCGCCGAGGACCCGCGTGGCCGGGGCTTTGCTCTGTGGGCCGGAAGCGAGCGCAGAGACCCTTCCCAGAGGCATCAGGCACCCATTGCCTTCCATGAGCGGGGCAGAGGGGTGGAATCACTCCGGACGTGTTCCCGGCTCCGCATGGGGATCCAGGCCGGAACATCCCGCCTGGGAGGTGAGGGCTGTGCCCCACATGCTGGGCCTTGCCCCCGGATCAGGGCTAGTCTAGGGCTTCGACCTGGGCCCTCCTGCCCCACTGCCCCTTTTCGGGAGCAAGGGGCCGGCGAAGCTGAGCGCGGACGTGTTCCATGGCTCTGGTGACGCAACGCTTCAATTCATGCTGTTGTTCTGCCTTCCGCTGCCAGGAATAAGACGGGTATTTTGGGCTGGAAGAGTGAAAAGACGGAGATGGTAAACGGGTACGAAGCCAAGGTGAGTGCCTGCAGAGAGGACTGGCACCGGCTGGGCCTGGAGGGCTGTGTGGCAAGGCTTAAAACAGGAGTGGTGGGCCATGTCAGTGTTGAGGACTAGAAGCTTGGAAGCTGACCTAGCACGGGATTCCCTGGGAAGGGCCCCCGGGAGCCCCATTTTTCCATGTCTTGAGGAAGGTTCTGGGGGGTGACTTGTGGCGCGTCCCCCCCCTCCAGGTCTATGGGGCTTCCAACGTGGAGCTAATCACACGGACTCGCACGGAGCACCTTTCCGAACAGCACAAGGGCAAGACCAAAGGTAGCCCAGTCCACCTTGGTCGGTGCGCGTCTTCCCGGGGGAACCCCGAATCTCTCCCCACTTCTGCCCCAAGCTGAAATGAGGGGTGAAGGGGGGATCTTCTGATGGATCCGCTGGGCTGCTGGGGGTACGACCGGCTGCCACCCCCGCCTGGTCTTTAGGGCTGTCCGCCATGAGCGCGGCCCCCGAGGGAGCCTCTGGAAAGGGCCCCCGGGCTCGCTGCGCAGCACCACCGGCCCGGATGAGGGGCTCCCCCGAGCACCCGCCAGCCCCGGGGAGCCTCGTCCGGCACCCGCTCGTGCTGGACGCTCACGCCGGCTCCGTTCTGCGTCGCTTGCAGGCGGGAAGACGCCGCTGCAGTCGTTCCTGGGCATCGCCGAGCAGCACGTGGGCCCCAACAACGGCGTGAGTAAGCCGGGCGGGGGGCTGCGGGGCGCGGGAGGCCCGGGGAGGGCGGCGCCCGGGGGCCGGGCCCCGGGCCCCGCCTGAGGCCGCCTGTCTCCCCCCGCAGGCCTTCATCACGCAGACGCTGAGCAACGCCAACCCCACGGCCATCACGCCGGAGGAGTACTTCGACCCCCACTTCGAGCTGGGCAGCCGCGACATGGGGCGCCCCATCGAGCTCACCACCAAGACGCAGAAGTGAGGCGGGGCCCAGGTGGAGGTGGGGCCGGGCCCAGGGGCCGGCATTCCCCTGGCGGCTCACGGCCTCTGCCCGCGTCCCGACAGGTTCAAGGCAAAGCTGTGGCTGTGCGAGGACCACCCGCTGTCGCTGTCCGAGCAGGTGGCTCCCATCGTGGACCTCATGGCCGTCAGCAACGCGCTGTTCGCCAAGCTGCGGGACTTCATCACGCTGCGGCTGCCCCCCGGGTTCCCCGTCAAGATCGGTGAGGGGCCCGGCTGCCCCCCACACACGGGCCCCGGCCCCGGCTGCTGGGGACAGCGGTCCAGGGGTCTCTGTGGGCAGGGAGGGGGGCTGCACGAGCAGGGTGGCGTGGCAAGGGGGGAGAGCTTCCCCCTGCCCCAAAACACTCGGAAGGCGCTGAATGGCGGGGAGGCCTCCTGTGCGGATGGGTTTGGAAGGGGACGGCGTGTCCTTGTGGCCGCCGGCGTGGGAGGCGGCATTCCTCAGTGTGGCAGTTGCTGGGGCACATGGGCGAAAGGGCTTCCCGTGGCAGCTGGGAATGCTGTCCTCCCACTGGCTGGCCGCAGGGCTTCTTTCCGAACTGCTCCCACGGGAAGGCCTCTCTGCTCCGAGGAGGAGCGAGCGAGTGAGCAGGCCAGGCGGCCCCCTTTCTCCCTTGCCCCCGCCGACACCCCTCCCTGTGCCCTCTGCCCCCAGAAATCCCAATTTTCCACATCCTCAACGCCCGCATCACCTTTGGGAACCTCAACGGCTGCGACGATGCCACGGCGCCCACCTGGGCCACAGGCAGCCCGGGCAGTGACGCCCCCTCGCCAGGCAGCGACCGCACCAGCATCAGCAGCTCGAGCTCCGTGGGTAGGCAGGCGGGGGGCCGGCGGCTTCTCCTTCCCTCCCTCCCGGGCACGTCTGGCCCTCTTGAGCACGCTCCTGGGCAGACTCCCCCGCTTAGGCGCGTGGCTTTCCCCCCAAGCTGCAACGGGGCCTCTTGTGACCAGCAGGGTGCCCCACATGCCTGCCTCTGTTGCCAGGTGTCTCTGCCCCCCGCAGTCCGCAGAAAGGCAGGACACGGGAGATTCCCCCAAAGACATGCAGAGCTGCTGCCCCCCCCCCGTTGCAATCCAAAGGATAGGGGGGCAGTGAAGCCCCCTTTCTCCCCACGGACTCAGCCGACAGCAGCAGGTGGAAGCTGCCCGAGGGGTTTGCTGAGCTGGAGAGGAAGGGGTCTTCTGGGGGCCGGGAAGGGAGATGCTTCGTGCGAAGGGCCAGAAGATGTGGCAGGCATTTGAGGCCCCAGATGTTCCCGCAGAGGTGGGGGTGGGCTCGAGCCCCCTGCTCTGAGGGAAAGAGGCCGGGGCTGAGGGTGCTTCCCGCCCCCCTCTTGCCCCCCCAGGCTCCTGCCGGTGCTTTGACATGGACCCCTCGCTCTTTGAGGCCCCCCGGGGCTACAGCGTCGTCGGCAGCCACCCCGAGCCCCTGCGGGAGGACGAGCTGCTGCAGTTTGCCATCCAGCAGAGCTTGCTAGAGGCAGGCAGCGAGTACGACCAGGTAGGTGGGGGCCTCTTCCCGGGGGGGGGGGCAGGCAGCAGGTGAGGACGTCGGCAGAAGACGTGGGGGGGCTGGCCGCAAACCCCAGCATCCCCCACCAAAAAGATCACGGGAAGTCTGGAGAGACGTCGGATGAGCCAGCGCACGGAACGGATTGCGCTTGCTGGGCCCCGGCAGGTGGTGCTGACTAGAGTTTCCTGGTGCAGCAGAACCCTAAACTGTGGCTGGTCTGAATGACAGCCAAGGGACACCTTCCTGGCCCGGGGCTGCCGAGGGGCTGCATGGCCGCCGGGAGGGGGGCAGGCCGGTCCACCTCCGTGGGCCCCGGGAGGCCTGATCTGGCCCATGCTGGAGCGGGGCCACGACCGAGCGCCGGTTATCCTGGCTCAGCCATCCCGGGAAAGCCCTCTGGGAGCACAGGAGAGGGGGCAGGCCCGGGGCGTCCGGACCGCACGGCTTGCGCGTGGGCGGCTGTGCCCCCCGGTCCCCCCCACAGGCCGGGGGAGCAGGAGTGGGTCGCGTGCCCCAGCCGCTGCCTTCCCCCTCCAGGTGACCATCTGGGAAGCCCTGACGAACAGCAAGCCTGGCACGCTGCCCATGAACCAGGAGGGCCGCAAGGCTGGCCGGTGAGTGCGGGTGGGGGGGGGCGGGGGCGCGGGGGGGCCCTGCGCACAACCCGGAGCGGCCGGTGACGCCCTGCCTGTCCTCTCGCGCCAGGACACCGCAGCACACGCCGACGCCCCCGCGGCCGGCCGCCCCCCCGCGCCCCCCGCCCGGCCGGGCCCCTGGCCGCCCGCTGCCCAGCTACGCCGACCAGCTGCGCCTGGCCATGGCGCTCTCGGCGAAGGAGCAGGAGGCGGCCGAGCGGCGCTCCCGGCAGGAGGAGGAGGACTTCGCCCGGATCCTGCGCCTCTCGCTCACCGAGCAGTAGCGCCGCGGCCCCCGCGGCCCCCCCCCCGCCACTTCCGCACAAAGCCAGAGCGGGGGGCCGATCCGGGGGAGGGGGTCGGCAGGGGCGCCCCCGTGCTCCCCCCCTGACACTGAGCCATCCGCCAAGGCCCTCTTTCGGGGAGGCAGGTAAGTCCCACGGAGACGCCTCTCGGCACACAGCCCGTCTCGGGGATGGGGCGCCTTCCCCCCTCCACCCCGGGGGCAGGCCCCTGCTGCGGCACTGCCAAATTGTCCCCCCAGGGGGTTCACCAAAAGGGTCCGGGGGCTGAAGAGTCGCAGCCTATATGCCCCCCCCCCACTGCTTGGATTGAAAACGCCCAGTAAGGAAGGGTGTCCGACCTCTGGTTTGGGGGCTGGGGGGTTGAAGTTGTTGCTTTGGGGGGGGGGGCGCGCTTTCTCTTCCCCCCCCCCCCCCCCCCCGGGGGCGCCCCCCCCCCCCCCCGCAAGCCGATTGCCGTTACTTTGGTTAAAAACACGCACGGAGCTGGGCTTACGTGGCGCAAAGTGTTCTTACCGAAGGCACAGCGTGATCAAACCCCTGAAGGAGCACCTCTCCTCCACTACTCCGCACCCATCGCCCACGGCTGCTGTCTGGAATTTGGGAGCAGATTCCCGCATGTGGCCGGGTGGCTTAATGAGCACAGTATCGGTTTAATGGAGATCCGGGGACTGCAGCCGATTCTGGATCGATTCAAGATCGGACCAGGGAGCCGAGCTGGATCAATTAATTCAAGCCGGAACGACGCGAGTGCGTTCATCCTGGATCCGACGGACCGGGGCCCCCAAGGCTGGATCCGGTGGCGGCCGCTAATGCCGGAGCCGGGAAGCTGGCCTGAGTACTTCAGCCCGGAAGCAGGACTTGCCTCACGCCAAGACGGACCCAGGAAGCCGGGCCGGGGACTGGCCGCTCGCTTAGGACGAACCCCACGGGCTTGCGAGCGGCGGGTGTGGAGGAGGCCCCGATCCCAGCTCCGTGCAGCCCCCCAGCCACGCCCCCACCTGCGTCGTACCAAGTGCACTTACCGCCGCTGCAGACCCCCAGCTGTCCGCCTGCCGTGGGGCACGCCGGTCCGGCCGTGGGACGGCGCTCCTGCTGGCCCAGTCCCGGCACGGGGCTGCTGGATCGCGTGAGCCAAGTGCCAGCACAGGGAGCGACCCCAAGGAGGCCTCCAGTCCCCGGGAAGGCGGGCACGCGCACCTTGGGGTTCCCCGAAACCCCTGTGGAGCAAGGATTGGGGGAGGGGAGGGGTGGGGGGAGGGAGGCCCCCATGGCCGGTGAGCCCCAGCGCCTTCCCCCCCGACTTGAGCCGGTGCACAAGCACCTCCGGGCCGGCTTGCTTCCCCCGGGATGGAGATGAAGATGGAAATGGGGGGGTCGCCCCTCACTCTGGCTCTGTGCCCCCTTCCTGTCGGGCGCCGCCCTCCTGCCCCCCAAGGTCACGATCACCACCCCTCGTTCGATGGTGCTAACCTCACAGACGCCCCTGCCGCCCACTGGCCTCCCCCACTCTGGTTCTCCCATCTCTCGACACGGATGAGCGTTCGCAGTGATCTCGGGGGGGGGGGCACAGCGGCACGCCCCCCGTGGCCTCGGTGGGGAGCGGAGAGGGAGGGTGGCCTCCCCCTCCCGGAACACCCCTGTGGACACTGGGCAGAGGGGTGGGGGGCCCCATCCAGACTGGCTCAGGTGTGTTACCTGCACAGAACACCAATAAAGACCTCGTGAACCTTACCTGTGCGGGGGGGGAGTGTTTCTACATGGCTGCCCAGCTCTGCCCCCGGTTCCTTCTGCTGGCAGAGAACGGAGGCGGGACCTCTAGCAGGACCCTGACCAGGCCTCTGCCACTCCGGCTCGTAGCCAGTGGCCCCGAGGGCTCGGGCGGGACAGGTCTCCAGGGCACAGCGCTTGCTTTGCCACAGAACTTGGCAGGTTTGGTCCTGGGGGTGGCTGGGGGCGCCACAGTGTGCGGCACAGCAGGGGTGGGGAAGGCGCGGCCCGTGGAGTCTCTCTGCAGGCCAAGAGCTGAGCGATGCCTGCTCTCCTCCGATTTGCGGGTGCGTGCGAGGACTTCCTGGTGGGCAGCGGGGGGAAGAGCAAGCGGCGAGTGGCGTCACGATGCCGGCGGGGGCGGCCATTCCCACTGGTCTTTGGCGGCCCCCGAGACCCCTGCGCCTGCCACACTTGAGAATCGCTTCCACCCCCGGCTCCGGGATGCACCCGTGGGGCGGCACGGCAGGAGGACACGAGGACTGCTCTGCTTTTAGGGGGCTGCCAGGGCTTGCTGGAGGAGCCCCTGCTCTGTAGGGCATCACGGCCGAGTTCCACGTCCAGGTGGGACTGGAGAGCCCCCCGGGGCCACGGCATCGGTCCCTCGGAGGGGAAGCAGAGCCCAGGCCGCTCTACCACCTGCTCTTTCCCATCTGCGGTTTCTCGGACAGAAGAAGGCAGAGAGTCTGGTGAGCCATTTTAAATGCACCTATATTTTAATCAGCATATGCAAATGAGCGGTGGCCCATCTTCCCCAGCACCAGAGAGGCGGCAACATGGCCGTTCAAGCGTGGAGCAGGGAAGCGTCTGCTCAGGCCCTGGGAACCCACCAACTCCCCAGCACAAACCAATATGCTCAGGCTGGGGGGGAGAAACGCTCCTCAGCCCCCCCCCCATAGGCTGCAGACAGGTTACCTCCCCTCACAACATACATGCATGCACGCACATGCACACACACAGGGGAATTGCGAGGCCTGGAGATGGAGGCCACCAGCCCAAGATCCGTTTCCGGGGCCCCAAATCGATTTCCTTCCCCTCACAGCCGTACAGCAGAGAGTCGATCCCCATCCTGCCCCGACACCCGCCCCCCGAAATTCCTGCATGACAATTCAGCTTGGAAATAGTTTGGGATGAGCCCGGGAAGGGTGCAAATCCAATGGGGCTGCTGCGCCGATTTGGAAAGGACCCTCCTAGGCTGGTTCTGCGTCCTGCAAAACTGAAATCTACCCCAGCAGCGAGCACAATAATCCACGAAAACTGCCTGTGTTATGCAGCGCTGGACCTCGGCCTGGGCCCCAAATCTTGACTGGGCTCAGCAACGCCCCACACGCCACAGACGCCCCCTGCCCCAACAACAGAGGAGGACCCCCGCGAAGCCCCTTCGAGCCATCCCATGATGCCTCACCCCATCCAGCACGGTGGCGCTCACCCCCGTCAACACCTTTCCCCGCCTGCAGGGTCGGCTGCCCTCCTCTTTCCCCTCCCCGCCCTGTTTTTGCATGGCGCCAGCGGAACCGGGCCGAGGCCAGCGGCTGCCGAAGCCCCCCGTCGCCCCACGCCCCGGAGGCGGCCCCCGCAGCGCTGCTCCCCGCAAAAGCCGTTCCCCGGAAGGGGAGGGAGGATGAGGTAGAGGGCGGCTTCCAGGTCTCCCCAGGGAGGCGTCCGAGGCGCTCCGCTCCCGCCTCCTCCCCACGCGCACGCGTGTCCCCCTGCAGGGGGGAGCCCTCCGGCGGGCACCCCGCGCGTCCGCCGGCCCCGGGGAGGAAGCAGCCGTCTGTCGCTGGCCGGGTCTTCGGAAGGGGCGCCTGGGTCGTGGCCGGAGCGGGGAGCTAGTCCGTCCCGTTGGCGAACTCGCAGAGCATGTTCTCCAGCTCGGTGATGCGCTTCTCGTGCTCCTGGACCGTTTGCCGGAGGGAGCGGATGTCCTGCAGGAGCTCCTCCAGGGCAGCATGCTGGGTGGAAAGAGGCGGCTGTGCGTTGGACGGCAGCCCCGGCGTGGCCCCGTGGCCCCAGTGGCTGCCTCCTGAAAATCCCCCCTCCTGAATTAAATTCCCTTTGTTTCTCAAGTTTCTAGTCCTGGGGATGGCAGGAGACGAGGACCTGCAGAGGTGTTTCCACTGTCCTTCATGCCATTCACCTGTTCAGACACGGTGCTATCAAAGCGGGGAAAACGCCTCGTGGACCCCGAATGTCCAACCTGGAGGTCTGGAACATTTGTCCAAAGCTACACACCAAAACTTGATCGGGGTCATCAATTCAAAATCTACTTGCCAGGCCTCCTCTAGGATGCTGGCAGTTCCCCTAACTCTATCCTAAATCTATCTATTTCCCAATTCCCCTTTCCACTCCAGCCCCAACAACCAAAAAGATGCCAATCATGGATCTGAGGTGGGGTTTTTATCTGAGAAGATCCGAACTTCGGGCAGGTAGGTGTGTTCACACCAGGGCCTTCACTGACGGCGATCGCTGCTTTTCATTTTTTAAAATAGTTCCAGCTCATTTGGCTTTCGAAAGGAAGACCTGCCTCAGTGGCTCAACATTTTTAAAAAATGGAAACAGAATGCCACATTTTGGCCAGATGTACATCAGTGGGGAAAAAACGGTCCTTTGATTTTACGCCTCCATCGTAAAATGGAGGCCCACCCCCTTGTGAGACTGCCGACTTTTTTTTTATCAAGAGTAAAGTCTGAGATTGTAAAGCATTTCTCACGGCCTTCGAGCCCTAGAAATCGCAGCACCAAGCTTTCCGCCGCAACCGCCCACACCTCCGACGTGCTTTAGAGAAACTTGAGCGGCACCGAAGCGCCTTGAACGTGGCGCTTCGGCTCTTTCTGGGACTGGCACCAGGGGGCGCCAGAGCTGCAAAAAGACCGCCAGCGGATCCCATCCCCGCCTCCTCCCTGCCTGCCCGGGAGCGAAACTCACGGAAAAATAAGACTCGCAGGAGGACTGGCTCCTCCGGGGGCCCGTGGGGGGCTTGCTGTCTAGGATGTTCTTCTTGACGACCTTGAGCTCACGGTTCTTGACCGGCACGTAGCCGTCCCGGAGGGAGATCAGGGTGGGCTCGGCGTCTTTCCCTGAAAGCCACTCGTCTGCTTCTAGCGCCGGCTCGGGGCCCGGGGTGTCGGGGTACAGGTCGTCTTGGAAGAGGTCGGACTGCCAGGAATGGGAACGGAAGGGAAGGCGAGTCGAGGCGCCGAGCCCGGCTGTGCCCACGGGCCGTTTGCTTCCGGCTGTGGGTCAGCCATGTGGGCTGTGCCCACACACCGGCGGGGTCCAGACGACGAGTGCGGGGATGCAGAGGGGCGGAAAGTGGGTCGTTCGCCCGGCGTTCGATCCCAGCTGGGTCCCGACAGCACAAGAACCCACATTTCTCCCAGGGGGCCGTGACTCCCCGCTCGGGTTGGGTTGTCGTGTTTTCTGAACCCCGGATTCGAGTGGGAGTCTCAGGCTCAGCAGGGCCTTTCCAGCACTGGCCCCCCAAGCCTGGAACACCCTCCCGTGATAAGCCTGCCTTGCTGGATTTCCAGTGCCGGGCAAAGCTCTTTCACTTTTCCTGGACCTTTTAAAGGCATTTTCACGGTGCTTGTTTTATTCAGCATAGGGGTAATACTGCATTTTGCATGTGTGGGTTTGGATGGTCAGTTTTTTAAAAATCCCTTTAGGATGTAATTTGCATGTTTGGACAGACAAAAAAATCTTCCAACTCCCAGGACTCACCAACCCACATGTAAAAAAAGACTTAAGACTCTTGATCATTGCGGGGGAACGCTCCAAATTCTGTCTGAACATGCAGGGAATTCCACTTTTAAATGCCAGATCTTCGCAGCACTTCATCACGTTAAATTCTGATTTGTTTTATTTTCTTGGGTCTCTCGCACCGCAGCTGGACTGCCTTGGTTACCAGGCGACCCAGCAGGAACGCCAGAAGGGAGCCCAGGAACGCAGGCCAGGGATCGAGGCGCACGGGGCCACCCCGACGCCTGAACAGGGCCCTTGGCCGCCGTAAAACCAGGAGCACTGCAATAAACGCGGATCAAAAACCCCCGCGCAAAGAGGAGGGCGGAGCGAGCGCAGGGGTAACTGGACACACAGAGGCGCCTTGCAGAGGGTTGGGGGGCAGCCCCCCAAACGGCCGGCGGGTGGTTTGGCGCACGCAGACAGCTGAGCCTCGCGGAGCAAGGCAGGGAGGGGAGAAGGGGGAGGGTGAAGGTGCGGGGGGGGTCCCACCTGCCTCCCCCACGGGACTCTGCCCGGGCCCGCCGAGGACTCACCTTCCGTGGGACGGTCATGACGATGGGCTCGCATTTGCGCTCGTGCAGCTTGTAAAACCTGCTCGGCGGGGCGCAGAAGGGGGGCGCGTGAGGCCGGGCGGCTCCCCCCCCCGCACGCGTCCCGCCCGGGCTTGGGGGGCTGCGCGCGACGCCCGGCCCCTCGCAGGCCCGCCCCGCCGCCGCCCCGCCGCCCGAGACGCCAACCCGCGCGGAGGCGCGCCGCTCACCTGGCGATCTCGCACCTGCTGACGTCCAGGCCGCGCTTGGGCATGAAGCCCATGCCCCGCTGCGGTTCCTTGCTGCTGAAGGTGCTCAGGTAGTGCACGAAGGGCGCCTCGTCGGTGATCTCGAAGTACCGGATGCTGCTGTCCCCCTGCACGGAAGCAGGAGGCTCAGGCGGGGCAGCTCAAGCCGCGCTCGCTCCCGTCAATTAGCAGCGGAATTATCCACGCGGGCGCTAATCAGGCATCGGGACGAGAGCCGAGCGGTCGGGCCTAATGCAGAATTATACTAGGGCGGGGCTGGAGGGGAGGGGCGGGGCCAAGGGGGTCCCGCTGCTCCCTCCCTCCCTCCCCGCAGCCGGACGGCCCACCTGCCCCCTTTACCTTGCCGCACAGGTAGACGATGCTGGAGTCGGGGTCGTAGAAGGGCAGCAGGACCCCGTTGCTGGTGTCCATCTCCTGCAGGGCGATCGGCTCCTCGAAGTGCTTCTGCGGGCACGCGGGGCGCCGTCAGCGGGAGCGAGCTCTCCGCCCCGCGCGGCACGCAAGCCAAGCCGCCCCGCCCCTTCCCCCGGCCCCGCCCACCGCTGGCCCGCGGCCCGAGGGCGCCCCGCTGGAGAAGGCGCCGCACCCGCCGCGCGCGGCCCCTCGACGCCCTTGCAGTGCAGGATGCGCCCCTGCACCCCTGCCCCGCCCGGCTGCTGCTTCGAGGACTACATCTCCCAGCAGGCGCGGGAGCAGCAGCCGGCCTGCCCCCCTCTTCTAAGAGAGCAGGGGAACGGAGGGGGAGAAAGCTGCCGAGCGGGGGCGCACGGGGCGCCTGGGGGACCCTGGGACCTGCGTGTGCCTGCGTGTGCACGGGGGTCCGCCTGCGTGTGCACCCCAGCGCACGCCCGCCAGCGCCAGGCGCCTCGTCTGCACCGGGCGGCGGCGGCGGCGCAGGGCCCGGGGAGGGGGGCGGCGGGGGCGGGTACACGGCACGCCATGCTGGCTGGTACCGGATCCCACAGGCCCAGCTCCCGCTGGCTCATGCGCGTGAACCCCGTGGTGAAGACGAGTCCGTCGCGGGTGAAGACGGCCCGCATGGGCCTCATTCCTTCATGGGGCGCAAACCTCTCCTGGATGGGTGGGGGAGAAAGTACACGTCTTGAGAGGAAAGCGAGAGGAGGAGGGAGAAGGAAGGAAGGAAGGCAGGAGAGAGGTTTCCGAGCGGGGCAGTGGGCACGGTGCGGTCTTGCTTTTCTCTGTGTTTTTTAATGGGGGAGAAGTTTAAACTCCTGCATCTCTTTGAAGGATGCTTTTCTTTAGAGGCCGTTAAAGTGAGAGATCTTGCCATGTTTTAAGAATTCTCCATCGGCCTGCAAATAGCCCTGGGTGGAGGCATTCGCCCGCTCTGTCATGGGCCCAGTGCCACCTGTAAGGCACCGGTCCCCCGCTCGGGTCTCTTCGCTCCTTCCTTCCTTCCTCCTCCGCGTGCAAAGGGCCCGGCGTGCACTCACACACAAGCACGCACACCCCATCCGGCCCCCGCGGGCGCCCCCAGCCGTACCAAATCCCAGAGTGCCAGCTGCCGCTCGCTCATCTTGCTAAAGCCCGTGGTGAAGACCTTCCCGTCGGCCAAGAAGGTGGCCCTGATGGGGCGCACGCCCTCATGCGGCTTGCATTTCTCCTGCCGGCCGCGGTTAGCAGGTTAGCGCCGGAGAGAGACACACACAAGGCAAGGGGTTAGTTCAGGTCAGCCCCCCCCCCCACAGGCACAGGGAATCTGGGGGCCGAAGGAGACCGGGCGGGGGTCACCCGGCTGCCCCAAAGCTCCAGCCCGGAGCGTCCCTGCAAGGGTGGCTTCTGAGAACGTCAAAAGGGCAACCGTTTGGGGACCAGAGAGAGGCTGGGGGCATCGCTCGGCGTGGCTGATGGGACCCCCCCCGCCCGTGTTTATTTCCCAGGGCCCCAGGAGTCCGTTCATGCGATGGGAGGTTTCCTTGGCATGCAGAGGGTGGATTTCAAGGGGGACCCTCCCCCCCACCAGAGAAGGAGGGCAAACCCTCTTCTCCCCACATGCCGCCCCACCCAGACCCCGGATGGGGTTCCCCTGAGCTTAATGGCTTAGGGGGCAGCTGGACTGCATGCTGCCCTTGAACCGGGGGCTGTTGGGCGATGGTGCTGCCTGAACCCGGCTGCGCTGGCAGACCCCGGCGGAAAACCCACGGGGCGGCCCCCACGCACAGGGCAGGCCTCTCCCCGTGGGCGCACCAAGCTCACGGGCCCGAGCCCCGCATCTTTTCCAGACAGGGGTCTGGATTATGTGATCACGGGGCCCCCCGGCGGGACTTCCGGCTGCTCTCTCCCTTGCCTGGGAACCAGTCGCCCCCCGGCTCCACCATCTGCCCAAGGAGAGAGGCTGGCAGGGAGGAGGGCAGCCCCCTGTGCGTGCCCGGCCACGGTGCCGGCCCGGCATCCCTGCCCGGGGGGACCAGGAGACAGGCAGGTGTGCGGAGGAGGAACGGGGGGGGGGGGGCGGGCGCCGGCACTCACTGCCACGACCCGGCGCTGCCGCGGGTCGATGACGCGCAGGTGCTTGTCCTTGCAGGTGGTGAGGAGGAGGCTGCCGTTGCGGTTCCAGCAGGCGTTGTAGATGAGGTCCGAGTGCAGGTCGTCCAGCGTGAGCAGGGCCTCCCCGGTGCCCACGTTCCAGAGGATGACCACGTTGTCGCCCCCTGCGGAGCGAGGGTGGGGCGGGGCTCAGGAGGTGGCCACGGAGGCCCCCGGCCGGGGTGGCGGGAGACCCCTTCTGCCGGAGGGCCCGCCACCCTAGGCTCAGTGTTTACGCCGCAGGTACGGGCCCCAGAGGCACGGAAAGGCCGGCACCTTCCTGGCGCCCCAGTGTCCGCACAGTCCTTACGGAGTGGCAAATTCCCGCCTGGGACTCTTTCCTTATGCCTTTTCCACCCCTGCACAGAACTCAGGTCGTCTGCATCTTGCCCTCCCAGCAACCCTGTGAGGTAGGCCAGGCTGGGAGTTCCATGGCCGAGGGGGACCGGGCCGCATCCCTCAGCGAGCGGGATCATGGGGGCCTTCTCCTGGGTCCCGGGGCGGCTCCGGAGGCCCACAGGCGGCAGAGGGCCCGGCCCAGGTGCGTGGCCCCTCCCTCTGGGCATGGCCCGGGGGCTCACCTGCGCTGAGCAGGATGTTGCGTGCCGTCGGGTGCCAGGTCAAGATGCCCACGCGCTTGGAGTGCCCCTCCAGGGTGACGACCGGCTCGGTCATGTTGCGCATGGGGAGGTAGTCGGGGATCTGCCAGACCTGCCGGGGGGAAGCGGCGCTTTGGGCACGGCGCACGACCGGCCCCCCAGACGCCCCCTGCCCCACGGCCAGCAAGCCCCCAGAGGAACCCCGCGAATGAAGACAAGCGCCAGGAGGTGGGTTCTGCTCCGGTGCCTCCGAGATGCCAAGCCCTCTGGGCAGTGGACGAGGCCTCGCGGCCTGAAGGTGGTCTCTCGGCCTAAGCAACCCTGCAGGGTTGTTGTGAGAATGTGCCAGCCGTGTGGAAGGAAGGAAGGAAGGAAGGAAGGAAGGAAGGCGGGCAAATTGACTGGACTGTCCTAAGCCCCTGGCAGGGCACGGAGAAGGCCACCGAAACGCCGATTTGATCGGCATTAAGGACCCGGTGCACATGAAGGCCAACGCTTAGGCGTGTTCAGACGGGAGGACGGCCATGCGCCTCCGAGACGGTTTTCTCCGGCTGGCAGGCCGGGTGTCCAAGCCTCGGCCGGATCACACCTTGCAGCGACCGTCTCTCGCCTCCATCCAGGCTCCCACGTGCTTCGCCTTGTGAAAGCGGCATAGGGTGGGGAGGGGGAGGGGAGGGGGAGGGGGAGGGGAGGACCTGGTGGCGGGGAGCCAGGAGCCCCCCCCCCCCCCCCCCTGCCAGAAGCACGGACGGACCCACCCTCCTTAGGCGCAGCATCAAAGCTCCCCAAGCTATTCTTAGCCGGAAAACGCTGCGTCAGACCCCGGCAGGCCTCGGCCAGCTCGAGCGAGCGGCCCCGGGACGCAGAGGCCCGGCTGGCCGTGGCCCGGCAGCCCCCCCGTGTAAAGGGGTCCCACCCCACACCCCTTCGGATGGAGGCCACGGAGGGCCTCCGGGGCAAGCCAGGGAGGGCTTAACCCGCCGAACGGGGCACGCCTTCACTCCCAGGACCCCTGGATGGCGGCTCGGAAGCCTCCCCCCACTTTTGGGGGGCCGTGCTCCCGAAAACATGCAACTCTTTCACCCTTCCACATCCCTGAATCCCTGAAAATGCAAACCCTTTTGCTTTCGCTTGGGGGGGGGGACAAGCCTGTTTGCTTGTTTTGTCTGCCATCGCTCCTATTTTGCTACGACTAAATTTGCATAAAAGGATTGGGGGTGGCACAAGTTCCGCCTGGACTGGGAGAAGCTGATCTGGGGTGAATTCTTGGAACTCTGAATCCATTGCATCGAGTTACTTCACCTTCTTGTCGAAGGTGGTGTATGCTGTGAGGCGCCCAGTGACCCTCTGGGGCAGCGTGGCAGTCCAAGAAATAAATTCAAGCCTTCTTCAGTCCCTTGCCCCCCAGTGCTGCATCACTCAGGTTTTAGCAACTTGCATCTCATCTCTTTTCTTTGACTATGAACAGGAGGCAGCGAAGATCGAACGAATCGACAGCCATCCTATGCCAAAGCACCCAATTATATGCTGAACGTGCTAATGAGGCAGACTCACCCGGGTCGCCAAGGTGCCCTCCCGTCCCCTTTTGATTTAATCTCCTGCCCTTTTCGTCATCCTCCAAAAATGCCCCGCCGCCAATAACCTGCATTTCGGCATCCGAACTGATGACGTGCTCAACCCATCGGACGAACTCCGGGCTCCAGTTCAAAAGAACATCAAAGGACTCTTACAGAGCGATCCTTAATCGCTTTTAGGTTATGGATCTCCAGCCTCGGCTGCGTATTTCTCTGTTTTACTGTATGTTGTTTTGATTAGCGTTCATTTTTGTAATATTTTTATAACGTAATCCACTTAGAAAGTCTTTGGACTAGTATAGCGGGATTTAAGTTGAATGAATGAATGAACGCAACCTTCCCCTGAAAATCGGGGGCGGTGACCCCACGGCTGAGCAACACAGCGTCCGGCGGTGGGGACCCCCCCCCGTGCCACCCACCGCGCGCCGTGGGCGCCGCTTACCATGACGGTCGTGTCCTCAGAGCCACTGGCAATGACGTTATCGTTGTGTGGACACCAGTCGATGTCCAGTACGGGGGCCGTGTGCCCTGTGACCAGGGGGGTGTTCTTGTCCAGGCGGCCGGTCTGCGAGCAGAAAGAGAGGCGGTGGCTGTTTGAGGAAAGGGGCCGTCCAGGAAAGCCGCCGAGCCAGGAGAGGAAACCCGTCTCGCTGAGCAGGCGTTTCGCAGCCAGCAAAGGGGGCTCTGGACACCGGTGGGACCTGCGGAGGCCCAAGCTCCGATCCCCACGCAGCTTGCAAAGTGAGCTTGGGGCAGCCCACCCTCTTTTTCTCCGGTTGTCCGACCTCGCAGGATTGTTGTGTGGACGGCACGGACCCAGGGCTGGATGGAAAGCGTGGGCATGACCCCAAACTTTTGGGACCCCCTCCCACACACACAAGGGATGCTGAGCTCATTCTTAAAACCCTCCGATGCGAAATCTAGAATTATCTGTGGTGCAAGTGGAAGGATTCCCTTTGATGTGTACGCAGCAAGTGTGGGGAGGGCAAAGGGGGCGCCCGGTGGGCGTTTGGGGCCCTCCCCTTTTGCCTTTGGCTCTGCTCACCCCAGGGACGTGCCCTCCGGAGCTTTTGCCACGAGGATGTGAAAGACTCCACAGTCCTTGCTTAAAGGATGCCCAGAAATCCCACAGGAGGAGGATGCAGAAGCGGTGCTTGTGCCCCCGGGAACGGGGGCAAGATCAAGGCGCTCCGATGCGCAAGAGGTGCAACGGGGCAGGGTCCCCTGAGCGGGGCTTGGCTCGCACGGGCCCGATCCCGCCTGGGGAGCACGACCTTGAGTGCGCCTCAGCGACCCGCCGGGCCTCGTGCCCGCAAGCGCCACTCAGTGCACAGCCCAGCTGGAAACCTGAGCTGTGGAAAAAGCCCCCTCCGACTTCCTGCCTTCGGTTTAATTGTTCCCGAAGTGAGTCACTTGTTATTGCGAGCCGAGCGCTGTCCCCGGCCGGCCAACTGCTCCAGTCCGTCTCTGCGCCGCCGTGGGCATTCCAGGCCTGCCGGGGGAGTGGGGGGCAGGGGGCGAGAGGACCACGGCAGGACAGTTTGGTGGCCACCAAGTGGTGCGGCGGTGAGGAAAACGGCAGCCAAAGTGGCCAGCCGGGCAGCCGCGAAGTGGCCGCTGCAGTCGGCCCGTGTTTAATGTATTTCTCTTGCATCCCGCCTTCGGCGGGTCGTGGGTGCCTCTCGGGCCAGACTGCTTGCGAGTCCGTCCGCCTGGGGAGGTGGCATGCGACGGGCAGGACGGCATGACAGGCTGGGGCGCCGGCCCACGACACGCGGAGCGTGCCCGGTTGGGCAGGATTGCCCTGGCTGGGGGACAAACGCGGGCGCTGGGCTTTGAGCCCGTCCCCCCCGGCCCGGCGGGCTGCTGTCCATCAGGGCCGGAGTGCCAGGCGTGTCCGTCCCCGGGGAAGATGGCGCCGGCCACGTTGCCCGCAGTTCTGCCCTGGGTGCATTTGGAAAGACCAGTCCATGTGGTGATGGTGGGTCTGAAACAGGCGGGGGGCTTTTCTGGGTACGTGTGCGGAGGGTTTTCTGGAACGCGCCCGCATATTTGAGCATCGGTGCCTGGAACGAGGCCTTTGGAGCGCCGTCTCAACTGTCGGAATCTGGAGGAGCCGGGCACAAGCCAGGAAGAGCCCCCACACTGGGTCTTGCGCCTCTGGGTGTGTTTCGCTCTCTCCTGTTATTCCTTTCTGCAGTCGCGTCTTGCCGCACTCAGGTTCGTGTGCAGCTGGGAGCCCGTCTTTCCCAGCTTCCCCTCCTAGCCACCTTCCCTGCTTCTAGCTGGAATCAGAATGGCGCAGGGCAATATCCTTAAGAAAGAAGAGAAATCCCAGGAATATTTTCCCTTAAAAGCTGTGCTATTTCCTCCTTCCGACACCAGGACAAAACGTGCCTGCAAGTTGCAAAGTTTAAGTGGCCAACTTGTGACCCAAAGAACTTGTGACCAGTTTTACTGTATTTTTTAAAACTTCTGCTTTCGTTCTGTAATAAGGGTGGCGGAAGGGGGTAGCCCGAGTCCTTGCGAAAATACGAAAATGGTTAGGGATTGATGATGGTTGATTCTTCGGGTTTATGTTTAACCCCAGTGCAGAGTAAAAGCGGAAACCCAGAACTATGGCGCTGTTAACCACAAACAGCCCAGGAAGGCGACCTGTGGTTAATTGTTGTTTGGTTGGGAAAGGGGGCTGTCCGTGGGATACCCCGGCTCTCATCCCCACTCAGATGAAGCTCCCGAGATGTGAGGAAAAGGGGCGGGGAGAAAAGAGGAAGATTTAGCAAGCTGCTTTGGGTTCCTTGAATGAAAAGGTTGAGACAGAAATACAACGAACGAGGAAACCATTAAATGTGTCTTCGCTTTGGGTTGTCGTGATGTATGAACTGGGGCGCTGTATGAACTTCTGTTTAACTCATAAAATCTCTCTCTTTCTCACACACACACGGTCCCTTCATTATCTCAACAGCTGAAGCTGTGAAAACATCTTTATACTGTTTGCTGGTGGAGAAAAGGGGAAACAAAGCCCCTGGAAATGCTTTGCACGAGTCAACAACCCCGAAGCCTCGTTCTAGGCCTCTTCCAGCCTCAGAGCAGCTCCGGTCCGGCCAGGCGATGCAGAGGTCCCGCTCCTTCCGGGACGGTGTTGGGGGACACCGAGGGATTGGGGCCCCCTCCTCTCCCCAGGCTAAACTGCTCCTTGCACCCTCCCAGGAGGAGGACGGGAAGCTGCGGGAAGGCCAGCCGTTCGCGAAAGGGAGCCATTTATGGGGTCTGGGGTGCTAAGCCTCTCCAAGGTGGCGAGGCCGTGGGAGGGCTGTACCACTTCAGGCGCTGGCTCAAAGGACAGAAAGCAAGAAGAAGAGGCTGCAGCTGGCACTCCGGCATGCTAGCGAGACGCCAGGCGCCATGGGACTGCAGAATCCTTCCATCCCACCTTACAGGGCTGTTGTAAAGAGATGCTGACGGCAGAGGTCTTTGAATGTTTTCAAGAAACTCGGTTTGGGGTGGCTTGTGCTGGAGACGGGGGCCGCAGCTCCCTCAAAGGGCGGCCCACCCAGCGGGGAGAGGGGAAGCCAACTGCCGACCCGCCACATACCTTGGCCAAAGGCAGAACGAGGAAGGCTCCGCCACCGCCCGACTCCACGATGATGGCCAGGAACTTGGGGTTGACGGCGCAGAAGGAGCTGTCCCACGTCACCTTGGACACGCGGATGTCTTCGTACATCTGGTCGGCCTTGACCGGCTGCCCGAAGACGTGCCGGAACTTGCTCTGGCGCACCACCCGGCGGCTCATGGCGGAGATGTGCTGGGGGGCACGGAAGAGGCGTCAGTGGGGGCCTGGGAAGGCTGCCTGCGCGGGAGGGATCCCCCGGCATGCGGCCGCAAGCGCGAATCGGCAGCGAATGTTGCCCTGATCGGCCCAGTGGGATGCGATGCTCCCCAGAGGTTTGCCACGTGCGAGGTGACGGATCCCTCGCGAATTCCGTGGGCCAGGAGTCAACGTCCGGAGAACGCTTGCTTTCCTGAGAAACAGAGGGCTCCACCTGTCCTCAGTTGGAACAGCGCTTAGGCTTGGCATGGACAGACTTGCTTCAAGGGTACAAGCAGCAACCCCCCCCCCGCAAGCATTCCTCAACCATCTTTGCAACAACAGCCCTACAAGGTAGGCCAGCGTTGTTAACTGTCCTGATCGCCGAAGGCAGGATGTGAGGCTAGCGGAAAGGTTGCTGCGTCCCCTCTGGAAGCTGGGGCAAGGCAGGATTTGAACTAGGATCCCTGCAGATGGTCCCTCTGAGTGGTAAAACTTGACCGGGCCCTTTCCGGACAGCGGGCCATACGAAGACTGGGGCACCTTTAGAAAATGGACGTGCGCCAGCTCTCTGGTTTTGCAGAAGTGAAATAACAGCCATCGGCTCCTGGAACCGCCCTGCTAAGCCCCGAGCCGGAAAGGACCCAACCTGCACCCAGGTGTACCCACACCTGACCGTAGAGACAGGAGCAATCCCGATGCTCCAGAGGACTGGAGCGGGCCCTGCCAGGCTCAGCACGAAGTGGGACAGGCGTGTTTGCCACGCTGCCCACGATGACACGTGTGCCGTGGTCCCCGCGAACAGCGGATGGGGCTTTTCTTCTAGGTGCCCGTATTCACATCGTTTGGCTACTTAGCTGGCCGTCCCCAGCTGGGGCCTGACATCAGAAGGGCTCCCGATCCCGATACCGGACGTGAGCCGAGCGCCACGAAGGCACACGCGCTTCCCCACAGGCCATGGGGTCTGGGGCGGCCACGTGCCGTCCCCTCGGGCTTGTGTGCGCGCACGCCATTCCGGCCTCGGTGGGGCCAGAGCCGCGCACCTGAAGGGCACGAGGGAGTTAAGTCTCTGCCCTGAGGCCCGTACAGTCTGGTATCTGACGCAGGGGCCCGGCAAGGGTTAAACGGGGAAGGATCGCTCGGGCGGCCGCGCTGCAGCGCCTTCCTGCGGCC